CATTGTGTCATTATAGGTTCAGAATATCTTCTTGTTTACCGCCCGAACAATTCCTCTTTTGGCAAGGTTGAAACCGTAATCATCAGTGACTAACACAACCTGTTTATATACTATGTTGTTGAAAGGTACGTTATAAAGTCACTCATTATTTCAATTTGGAACATTAACACACAATTTAATATAATCAATGATTTTAGAATGTTAAGTTATAGTAATTACGTTATAATACTTAACGTATTTATCTAATTTCTTCTATTTAATATCATCATATAAATGATGTGACTAATCTTATTCTGTCTGTCTTTTTTTAACAAATGATATTAAATGCTGTGAATCAGACAGCATATCAATATACAATATTGTTTTTCAGGCCATTATAATGAACATTACTCTGTAGTTACAGTCGTTAGTGAAGAACAGTATTTTTTATTGTATTGTGTTTTGCTATAACTCTACCGACCTGAGTCTGTTCTGACCCAACTAAGGATTTAACAAATGAATCAACTTTAACATGATGTGCATATTACATTTACGTCTCACCTACTATGCGGCTGCCTATCATATATAATTGCATAACTCATTGTCATTTCCTTTCAAAATTGAATTTTCCATTTCATAAATGTGATGCATGTGAAGTCCAACCTGCAGACTTCCCCCAACACACACTGTAACAGCCGTGTCAGAACATAAAAGATTAAAGAATAAAAACATTTTACAATGAATTTATAATGATACATGTTTTCAATGCAACTTTCTTTGATTTGCACAGTTTGTATTTATATCCCTACAACCATTCATCCAATGCAGCAACACACTTCTGATGCAAATCATTGTTTAAAATGCTGTTTAAGCAAATTGAAATATCACTTAATGTTTTTTTACAGTGCCTGGAGAAATTAAGAACCTGGTCTGGAATCTTCAAGAGCATAACGTGATTCACGCAACCTGTGATTCTCCAAATGATTTTAATGGACCTAGGAAGGGTTACATCGCACGTCTTTATAGTGGTGGTGATGTCCTGATTAAGACTCTGAACCAAACCGAATGCAAGTTTGATTTCAAAGATTTAAGCTACTCAACCAAATACAAACTGAAGGTGTGTATGAGCCAAACATTTGGTTTCCAAACACTATTAAAACTTTATTCCTCATATTTCTTCAAATGCTATATTTCCTGATGAGATCTTGTGTTTCCAGGTGACTGCTTTCAATGGACAAAACGAGGGCATTCCCATCAGAGCATCTGTCACCACTTCCTGTATGTGGTGTTTTAATTCATGCCAACAATTGTTAATTAACTAAGTCATTTTGACACTTGTACACTATCTCTTTTCATTCATTGTATTTAACTCTTATGTCACAGATGATGACAAAGCTCTCATTGTTCGCCTGGTCTTCTTCATCATGGCATCTGTGGCCTTTGCCGTGGTGCTCTATAAGATCTACACTCTGAGGCTCAGAAAGTCCAGGAAGTAAATACTTACTTACTTCTTACCCAACTCTATCAGTTTGACTTTTACATTCTCTCTGGTTTGTTTTACAGTTGTTTAAGTTTGATATTATTACTATTATTTACAGTAAAGGATGTGATGACATTTTTAAATGAGATTTATTAAGTTTTATCTCGTCTTTTTTAGGCAGAGATAACACATTATATATTTAAAAGCTAAACGTTTAATACATTATTGAATATTATAATATGTTATATTCTATATAAATGTTTTTACATAAAGCTAATTTGAGCTTTTTTCTTCACAGCGATGCGGAGGTGGATGAAAATGCTGTGATTGAACTAACAGAAAGTGAGTATAGTTTTCTTTTTACTATCATTTTTTTTAAAGTAGCAAAATCCCTGTAACACTTTATATTAAATGAGACATATAAACTATAAAGTAAGTTATTTTTATTAGTAATTATAAAGCACAGCTTAGTATATACTGCCTTTTTTTTGCTTGACTATTCTACAACTAATAGGCCATCTTGTAGTTTTAAAGTATGACAACATATCTTTGTGAAGTGTGTTAAGTGCACTGTATTTTGATGAGTACATAACATTAAGTTGCACAATTTTCCTTCTATTTCCCTGCTGTAGTTTATGCTAATGTATCTCAATCTGAATGCCGCCGTAGAGACTCAACCTGATGAAGAAGGCCTGATGGAGCTGCCAACCAAATCATCATTTACTCATGTGACGTAGCTGTATATAGCCTATAGAAATAATTGTAATCTGCTTACACTGGCAATGGTGTGTTTAAGAGAAGATGGGATGGATTAATTGCTTCATGTTTTAGTCGTTTTGGGTTGTTATGTTTTAATGTGTGCATTGTAACAAGTTGAACATTTAAGTTTTGTATTCAAATGCTCTTATAAGATTATAACTGGTTTTATTGTTCTGTTGAGATTACGTCACATTGTTCTTTTATATTTACACCCTTGCCAGACGACACCACCTAAAGAGAGGGAAATGAATAGCAAGTTGTTAAGTCTTGCAGATGCAGACAGGCTGATATGTACAGCAGCTAAAGGTATTGGTGGTGTTTTAAGTCTTTTGTAACAGCTGCCGTTTTTCACATGTGTGTATCTGATGTATTACCTTTCATATTTGTATGACCAATAATTACTCATAATGCAAACAAATAAAAATAGTAGTGCGCTTGTAACCATAAAACATCACATTTAATGTTTTCTTTAAGAAGTTATTACTATTTAAGAATCAATAATTAAACCAATATACACTTTTGGTATTGGTAACAGTAAGGAAATTATTCTAATATTCCAACCAAATTGGCCCTAATCTGAAAAGATGCCAAGCTAATTCCATGTAGCCATTGGTATATAGTCCATTGTGCTGTGAGTGGTTAAGTGGTGTATTTAGGCAATTTTTTTTGTTACATGACAGGAAATACCACATTACACGACATTTACTAAGCATCTACTGTAATACTGGAACTCTTTAACCTGCAGAACAATGAAACAACAAATGTACTTGAGGAGTTCAGACAAAACCTACTATGATACATTTGTATGTTGTGTTAAAAAAATAAAATGAAGTTATATAAATATACTTACCATTAAGCTGGTTTCACTTGCCAGTTGTCGATCAGAGGAAAATGCCCTCTTGCTGTAAATTCAGGAATCATGATACATGTCCCCCTTTCAAAGTTCAGTCCTTTAATAAATGACTAATCTGGTGCAGGTCTTCAGGTGTGGAACAGTAATTGCTGTATTTCTTGTTGATCGAATGTTCGGATGTGAAACTCATTGAAACCGGGTCAACTCCAAACACTCACTCTAATATCCAAAATGAATTTGAAAGCTTTATTGCATTTAGTTAGCATACAAGGCATTTGTGATAAGGGTCTTTAATTTGACATGAAATGTTCTGAAAAAAAACAAAACAATAAATATTATTTGCAATATTTGACTTTCTGGAAACACCCCTAGACTCTTCAATCCCAACTTCAGAGGGTCTGTGGAAAGGAAACTGAGTCGAAGTAAAAGGCGAGGACACAGGAGAGTATGTGAGATGACATGTATGTGACATGGAGGCTAAAACGCTCACTACCAAGAAAGGGCCGTAACCATTAAAGTGACTTAGCACTGTGTGTTATAAACCTGCTAGTGAGGATTTCTTTTTTAAAAGCAAGGCAATTTGTTCAATATACAGTATATTACATCTTTTATAACAGACTGGTACTTGCATTGGATGCAACTGTCAGGCCGATATAAAAGCATTTAGCATCAAAACTCAATCGCTTTAATTGCTGAAATACTTTGGTGCCATAGAAATGCTATTGTTTAGAGAACTAAAGATAAAATTAAAAGAAACTTGGGTGAACACAATGACAAATATTAGATAATAAAGATTAAAAACTGAAATGGAGGAGAGAGTGAGAAAGCAATGGTAAACAAAAACTGCATCTGCAAGTCCCAAGGAAATATCTGCGATCAACACACTATCACAATAATGTGTCGTCTGAGAAAAATTACTTATATTTTCTTATCTATAAGCTTTGATTTTCTACTATTTACTATTTCATGTTAATGAAAAAACATGATCAAACATGGGCATACAAGTACAATCATTTCAATGAGCGGCTATTTAATGATAGAAGAGAATTAATAAGCGACCGAAATTAAGCGTTATTAACCGTTGCTTATTTGCTATAACTTTCGTGTGGTATTGTTGTTACTATGTAAACTGGTGGTGGTCAGAGCTGGTCATTTGTGACCTGCTGGAGTAAACCTACAGTATTAACTGTTAAAAACAAATAAAATAAAAACAAACATACCCCTGTATCCTTCCTCCAAATGAATAAAGGGTTATTAAACCTTACAGTATTACATCTATAGGAACTTCTTTACTATGTACAGTAAAACTATGTGAGTCCCATTGGTGTTTGTATTTTCAGGACAACTCCTTGATATACTTCCCATGAATAACACCAAACACATGTAGAAAGTGCTCTGTCTATACGCGACTTTGTCTTTGGTATCCCTACTGGAGGATAAGTTAGGTAGGCACGCTGTGGTTTACTCATGGCATGGACGGCTACACAAGGATCTGCTCTCTCTTCAACACATGTGTTACTTAACAAGACAACTACACTGCAAACGTACACAGCAACGCAAACAATCACAACATTTTGTCCACAAATGCAGCCGCTGGACAATGATGGAGAACTATGTGTTTTGACTTCCCATGTCTTTATTGTGATTTTAAAAATATATTTTGCTTGAGTTGAACCAAGGAGGGAATCTTTTGGTGTCAGTGACTAAGGTAAACAGCAGACGTAAAACTGTTTTTCTTTCAGCTTCTCGAATCCTTCTAGGCTGTCAAAAAAGAGACATTCTGAATTTTTCAAAGACAATACATAGATGTCAAAATGACTTACATTCAAAGTGTTGTGGAGACATTTGCCCATGTTTTCCCCCCCGGCAGGTCTCTAGTCTACCCTCTAAATGATCCTTCCTTTCCTAATACAGTCATTAGGCATGATCACCCTGCCCTCCTTTCAGTACCAGGATAAAGTGCAACACAACACCGCCTCTACCACCAATAACACTTTGTTACGTCTCTCAGTTCTGCTGCCCTCGAGTGGAAAACTTTCTTTTTAAAGTTTTCATGTCTTTTTCGTGCTAATTGCATAGGTCTCAACTAGTAAACCGTTAAAGGTCATTTTTTTAGGTAACAGCTAACTTTGCCTTTTTTATTTTCTTCTTATAATCTTTTTTCAGTATATCTGCTTCAAACACAATATGCTTCTATCAGCTGTTGAAGAACACCATCACTTCAATACATGAATATACAGAGGAAATGCATTTTAAAGCTATAGCACATCAGTGAGTTACAATACGCTGATGTTCAGTGCTGTATCATTATTGAAGTCTGAGGAATGGGAAGTCCACCTGACAAGAAGTATAATCTCTATAATCTTTATCCTAAGGCAGAATGGTTTGGGTGTCAGTTATATAATGGACTGTACCTCCACCTTTACAATAATTATGTTGCTTCTTATCACAAGGAGCTAAACTCTGGAGTTATTGTATAAAAGCCAATAGATTTGTTCGAGTCCAGCATGAAAAGCAAGAAGGGAAGTGGGGAGGAGTTCTGCGAGCTATATGCGTGTCACTCTGGGTTTAGCTGCCCTGTGTCATGTTCTGCATGTGTTTGGCAATGTCGTACACGTAGGTGATGTCCGGCCTCTTCTCCGGGTCAGGGTTGATGCACATATCTACCAAGTTCCTCAGCTGGTGAGAAAGACGGGGGGGTGTGGGTGGGGGGTAAACAGAGAAATTAAACAATCAATAAACTGTAGTGTGAGCAAACTGTAAAAGAGCAGCTTGAGAAATGAACAAACCGTAGCTAACGGAGACCTGCTCGTCTCTCTGTGCCCTCTAGATGAGCTCATTTGATAAAAGCAATAACAAGGCCACAGGTAATCGAGCTGAGACAAAGACGCAGAGCTGTGTTAGTGCACTAATCTACGATTGGTCTGAATCCACATTTACCCCAGCCCCACAAGTACACACAGACACACTAACGCACACACTGCTGCCACTCCATTGCCATCCGGAGACAGCACTTACACTTGAAGCCGAGCGAAGCGGCTGATTGGAGCAGATAGATAGACAGGCTCGCAGGCGGAACAGCCACCGCCATCATTAAAAAAAGAGAAGAGAATAAAAGATTGAGAGGAAAGAAGAAAAAAAGATAACATCTACGCGAGGTCGCTATGGTAACCGTCTGCCGACTTCCTGGCCGCTGTTGCGTGGCACCGGCTTGGACGAGTTCTCGTCAGCCGCTGTGTTTATATGTGTGTGTGTGTGTGTGTGTGTGTGTGTGTGTGTGTGTGTGTGTGTGTGTGTGTGTGAGAAAGAGAAAGTGGGAGAAAGATGCAAATTCAGACAGTCTGAGAATTAGTCCCACAGAATGGAGATGGAGAGGGGAGGGGGGGGAGATGCAGATATGTAAAATATTCATGCGCTTCTTTGCATGGCGAGTGGGATGGGGGAGTGGGAGCTGGAGAAGGGAGGCGTGGGGGGGAAGCATAGACGGAGATGGTTAAATGACACAACAAAGATGAGCAGCTGACAGTTTGCTGCCGATCCTTCAGGAGCATTGTTTACATCCAGACAGGCGCTGCAGGCACCCCCCTCATCTCCATCTCTCCATCGCCCTGTCTCTCGCTCTATCATTCCCTCTCTCTTTCGCTTTGTCTCCCTTTCTCCTGGATGGGGGTGACATGTGGGGCAACGCAGAAGCTCAGCGTGGTGTGTGAGTGGAGAGAGCTCTTGTTGCAAAATATACACTTGCACAATTGCTCATGCACAAACAAAAACTCAGTCATAGAGGCTACAGAGGCTTCAGACACCTCGCAATTAGCCTTTATCATCCTGATGAAGTCAATGCCACAGTATAATAAAGCCTCTTAATAGGGTTTAGTATATAACATGAATTAGGAGAACCACTTAAACTAGCTGTGCACAAATACTGAGATGGTACGAGAGCATGGAGGGCAAATAAGTTGCACCTTTTTAGAAGACATTTAACATGTAGGAATGTAAAGGCATCTTAATACTGGTATGTCATGAGTCAATTAATCAATTTGTTGATTGACTGAAAATGATTTTGTTAAATCCTGGATGAATAAATGAATCCATGGATTAGTTAAAGTAGAAAATGTAAAATATTTGCTGTGAAATGACTTCAGGCTCTCAAATGTCACCTTGTGCTGTGTGTATCTTCCAGTTTGGACTTCCAGTTATAATTAGAGACAAAAACAACTCTACAAAGACGTCACCACAGGATCTTATCTGGACTATTTTCTGACATTTCATGGACTGAATATATCACCAACTTATCAAAAAGTATTGGACATACTAATCAATAATGAGATTAAGTTTAAATTGCAATGTCACCTAAAGTACGATGGCTGAAACAATGAAAAACACAGGTATTTATTGTTAATTATTATTATAACTCACAAAGCTGTAGTGCGCCCATACCAAAGCACAGTGTCACTGGTGAATGAAGGTAATGCCTGCAGTGTATGTGCGTGTGTGCCTATGAGTCAGTGTCTACGTTTTTTTGCATGTGTCTACAATTTACTTAATATATTTAAGAGAAAAGGACAGAAATGTTAGGGAAAAAATGCCACCCACATAAAGAGGGCATGCAAACACAAAGCCATGCGCATTCATACACACGTCAGCGGCAATCAGCAATAAGGAGATCTTTGACCGCAGCCCGAATACATTACATTTCTGTGCATGGGTAAGTCTACGCAGAACTACAGCAGATGATTTAACATTTCGTTAGGGAAACATGACACTGTAGCCCATTCAGCTTCACCCCACTTTGTAGCATGGCCAGATGCTTTTGATATGTGCATTTAATTTTTGAAACGGTTAAAATCATAGCCGGTCTTTTGATCACAGAGCAATATCATACTGAACTTTAGCTCAGACAGTTGGGTGGATTTCACTCGTATATAAAAAAAAAAAAGTACTTTAATAGTCAACACAAGTCAAAATCAGCGAACTGGCACAGAGAAAGAGAAACCGGCTACCACTGCTTTACACAGTACTTCACCTAAAAGATATTAAGAATTTTCTAAAAGTTTATTTTAAGAAGGAGTTTAGGTTTAGAAGTCCTTTTCCAACACTGAGCAGGTCTGTATCTACCTATGACAGCAGTGAATGGCAGCTGGCACAGTACTTACCTCCTCTGAGTAGTGATCTGAGGGAAGTGGGGGGTAGTCGCACTGTTCTATCTTCTTACAAAGGGAGTAGAGGTTCATCTTATCCCCGTAGAACGGACTCTGCAGGGCTGCCATCTGAAATATAAAGATATGAGGGAAAGGAAAGGCAGGGTGTTAGCAAAGTAAAAACTTGAACACGCAGAATTTCAACAAGTCGCTGTACAGTGAGTTCAATGCAGAACGGTTCACTGTTATCGAGGTATATGACTAATTGATAAAAAGCAGTATTGAGAGAAAGTTTGTGTTTATAAAATCGGCAAACTTCCTTTTCTTTTTATACTGTTTGGTATAGGAATGAGTATAAGTCTAAAATTCAAGTGAAGCAAAACAGAAAGATTCATGAGGGATTCTCTTAGCTTATGTGTTTTCCTTTAGTTTGCTAGCCCTCTCTGCTGCACTGCTTTCGAAAATGTGGAGATATAAAGTTATACACAAATATGGAGACAGAGTTGAGAATGGAAGAGGAGAGTGAGGAGAGGGGTGCAGGCATATTATGAGAGAGAGAATTTCTCAGTTTGCTGGAGCAGTGAGAAAACTGTATCCTCGGGAAAACAAATGCAAGCAAGCAGAGCAGAGGAGAGGCAGATGGGAATGCTAAGGAAGAGTGGAAAGGATAAGGAGACTTTTGCTGAGTGGAAATATGTGAAAAAAACCTCCTGCATGTCTAAGAATAGAAAATATAGCATGCCATATCTGCCAGGGTGACTGACTCACTTCGTATTGTTAAAATGTGTATGCGGAAGGTGAAGCCTGCAGCAGGTTTGCATAACAAGCACACTCACTCTTATTGTTTTTCTGATTCAGTGCCTTCGGAAATGAATAGTGCGTTAGGCTTTTGTGTTGGCCCAAATTGCTTAACTAACAATAAATAATTGTGGTTAGAATGGCTGTCAGTGTAAATGATGAGGAGCTGCTTAAAGAAACTGTAGCTTGTTGATTCGGTTGTTACTTATTTACATAGTGTTACATAGGAAGAAGTGAGTATCCAACATGATATTAAAGGACTTCTATTTCATATTAATTCAGAGGAAAAAATACATTCTCTTATGCAAAAGGTTGTACAGTAAAATAAGTATGCAAAAGCCATATTGCAATGTCATGCCCTGCACCTGTTATGGGGAGAGGGCATTTCTGTGTACTTTGAAATGTTGCTGTACGTCCTAATGACATCCAGAAGAGAGGAAGTGTCTTGTGGAACAATGTGAAACAAGGTCCAATTATAGTAGTCATTGCTTATTGGTTTCCATTTGTGTTTCTCACCGCCTCCATCTGCAGTATTGTTTCAGTACTGTGGGGTATTTCAAACTCCAATGTGATATTGACGAGTGTTTCATCACCAGGAGCATGCAGGGCAAAAGATAATCACAAGTTTGTGAAAGCACAGGTAATTAAACAAATAAATATTCAATTATTTCTTCCAGGTGTCCCTACATTATTATCCGAGAGTGTACAGAGTGTGTTTGACAGCCTGTTAATTGGTAGTGAGAAACAAATGATAACAATGTGTCCATATCTGAATCCAAATGGAATCGTTCCATGCAGAATAAAGCAGGTGAGTGTTAATGTGCCACCTTCCACAATATAAGGCATATTAGAGACTAAATATTTTTCCGTAAATAGGACTACGGAAGGAAGTAGAGGTAGATTACAGAAGCTGTCTTTCAGTTACAATGGGCGACAGGCTGTGACATGGAGTATTAACATGTAAATGGCATCTGAGGAAAAGACGAGGTCATGTCTTAACATCCCTTTTCAAATGGCAATGGTTTCCTTCCTCCAACACATGTTTTTAGATGTATTACTACTTAAACAAGTGGAAATGGCCTCCCTTTGTGGCTCCAGCTACAAATGTAACTCTTTGACGCATTTCAAAAACTGTCAAGTCCATCAACAATTTCATTTCAGTCTTCAATGAAGAATGTGACAAACATTGATGGTGCAGACAGAAAACTTCTCGTTCCCTATAGGGCACATTTTGACAGAGTCTCTGTCACAGCTTCCAGTGGGAAGTCAAGACGACGGGAGCACAATCTCAGTAGGCCCTCTCTCATCTGGACATAATTTACCATCCAATATTAATCAGCGTTCTTCATCACATCCTCGTATTAACACGGCATTTCCTCAGAAAAACACGTAAACACAGAGTAAAGATGATCTCTCTCTCTCCTGCTCTCTTTCTCTCCCTCTGGTCCAACCATTAGGACTGAGACTGGCACAGCAGGCGGTTGACAGTGATGAGATGTGTGAGGAAATGTGTATTCCTGTGTGTGTCAGCAATAATGCACTTCCATTAGAAACAAAGCCTCTTATCTGTAACCTACGATTTCACTTTGGGTTGTGCAATAATTGATCGACAGGCATTCAAATTGTCCTTCCACTAGTTATTTTAACTAACTTCCCATTTGCTGCAGCCTATAAATATGTTATCACTCCAGTGAGTTAAGAAAATGTTATATGTTATCATCAGGAATGTACCACTAACGTCAACAAATATCTTGCTTTTCTGTTTCAGAACCAAATCCCTTTCCAATAAACAAACTGAGAGGTTTCAAAGAAGTAAAAGGGCAGAACCAGGCGGACTCAGCTGGCTTTCCTTTAAAAGGGTATGGAGTGTCCATGTTTGGCACAGAACATGCTGACTATTTTCAGTACTGGTTCACTTCAATGACTTAAAAAGAGCCATGTGGGAGAACACTCTTAATTGCTTTATAACAAATATATGTGTAACTAGTGTGGATGTCTGTTGTTTGTGTGTAAAGGCTAGGTAGGAAGGCTAGTGCTTTTAAAAAACAATAGGTTTCTCTGTTGGCAAGAGGAAATTGAGAGTGGGACAGAAGAAGAAGAAAATCAGCCAGCTATAAACCCCAGGAGGTAAGGGGTTAAACAAGACCCCATCGTATTTTCATGCATCTTCTGCTTTTGACAGATGAAAAATGTCAACTGTCCTGTTTGTATTTGGGAGTTTTTGCACTATTCATCTGCTTCATTAGTGCCTGCTGCTCCCAGCCCCTGACAGCTGCCGGCCCCCTGCTCTCAGCACACACACTTACTCTTTTTTTCATATTGTGTCGTTGCAATGGGTTAGATGATTGACTCACTCTCTGACCTCTGAGGCCCTGGTGAGTATAAGACTGTGTGTGTGTGTGTGTGTGTGTGTGTGTGTGTGTGTGTGTGTGTGTGTGTGTGTGTGTGTGTGTGTGTGTGTACGTGTGTGTAGTAGT